TTTTTTTTTTTTGGTTTTTCTCCGGTACCGGGAACCGAACTCACGACCTTGCGCTTGCCAGGCAGGCGCTTTTGCCGCTGAGCTAAATCCCCAGCCCAATATGTATCATTTTTATAGGCAGAAAAAAATATTTGTTGTACTAAAACAGAATAAATAACTTTTTATAGGGAATTCACAACTCCTGCAGGAATTTGCCATGGGAGTGAACATGAATAAGGTTGTTCTCCATCCCCAACTGTTACCTAGCCACCTTTTTCTCTTGTGTGAGTTTCAGGTTACCCTCATGAGAAAGGAGGACCACACTGTACATTAATGTAAGGCATTGAGTGCTGGAGACACTCCATATATCTTAGTTCTTTCCCCTTCACAGAGTGACCAGAGGGCAGCTGCTTTCATTCTGCACTTAAGACTTGGGGGGTGAGCTGTGAAAGTGTGCTGGACAGACACTGTCAGTGTGGCTCCCGGGCCCAGTGATGCAGTCCTGCTGTGATGATGGTGAGCAGGTGAGATGACGGGAGGGTGCTAGCAGACCACAGTGACAGGAAGAGGACCAAGAAAATGAGACCAGAAAAGCCTAGGGGGATCTTGCAGGTCACAATGTTTTCCTTTCTCTTCTAGAAATGAGACAGGGAATAGAAAAAAGCAAGTCCAAGCTGACAGCCCAACCCAGGCTTAGGACCTTGGTGGGTGCAGTCTTCCACGTTCACCCTTGCCCACACCTGAATCTGCTTCCTCATCGTTCCTCTTTTGCTCTCTCAGGAAAGCTTGACTTTTGCCCAAGTTTTCCCCTTTTCCTGCAGTAATTATGACCTCCAGGAAGTCTGAAACCAGATTAAGGGTTTAGAAATCCTTTGCCAGTTGATATCCTGCTACATAAATGCCAAACGGCAGTGATGTGACTTACACAGAGTTCCAGAGGGATGCGGGCTGGGGTGTGCACCTGAGTATTAATTGATTTTAATATTAATGAGTCTATGATTTGGTCTAGTTGACCTTCAAATTCAAATTAGGTACTGATTAAATAATAAGACAGCTGAATTTGGATGTGTTTAAACAGCACTCCTCCCTCCCCCAAGTAAGGTGCCTTGGCCTTGGCAGGTGATGAGGATGAGCTATGAAAAATGTAGAGACAACTAGAATGACCTAAGGAGATTGCCCCCTAAATAACAATGATAACCACGGTATCTGACATTCCTATGAGTTTTGCTCATGTATTTATACAGCCTCTCATCTGATTGCTTAGGTGTTTCTAATGTATATCTTTAACAATGTGTATGAGCCAGGTATGATGGTGCGTGCCTCTAGTCTCAGCACTTGAGAGGCAGAGGCAGGAGATTGCAAATTGGAGCACAGCTTGAGAGATTTTTTTGACTCAGCAAGACCTTGTCTCAAAATTTAAAACATAGAAAAGGGTGAAGATGTAACTCACAGTGAAGACTCCAGGATTGATCTCTAGTACCACAAAAAGAAAAGCAAAGCTTTAAAAGCTTTAATATTTTTACTCTTTGGTTGGTTTTTGAGAATTTAAAGTACAAAACAACAATAAATTAATAAAGTATCTTACTAGCAGAGGAAATCCTTCAGCAGACAAGCAGATGCCCTAGTTTACAAGGAACCTCAGAATATCTATCAACCCACAGATATTTTTTCAGGTCAGATCTACCTTGGAGTTAGTCCTGGTTGCCACATCTTTGGCATCCATCCTGTGTGAATGAGCTGTTCACGAGCATAGCTCCCTCCTTCTATCTCATTCTCCCAACTTAACTTCTGTCCACTTGATGGCTGTAGTGACTCACTGGGAACAGGTATTTTTAGTGTCTAGGTAGCAATTCTGCTCCTCATCCATAATCCAATCAGTTGTATATCCTGTTATCTCAATTAGCAGTTACACAGGATAAGCAGGCAACAAGCAACAGTGCTTGGTTTCCAGTGAGAAATATGTCTGGAATGCTGAACAAAAGCACTGGCATAGAAGACACCTGGGTTATGACCATTGTCAGAATTCTTCAACTTTCATATAACTATTTAGTTTTTAAAATCTTACCTCTCCACAAAAGAGACAAGAGCATTCTCACTTTTTGGTTGCTTGTTTCCAATCCTTACATTCTGGAAGCCACTAGTTTCTAGTGGAAGCCAGTTACATGAAGGTAAAGCCAGCCAACAAAGCAGGCTGGAAATAATTGAATAATCCTCCAATGCCATGGGAGTTACATCGGAAAGAGAAAACAGCGCTAGTCCAGAATACGGGTGATTCCAAAGCCTACGAAGATACTAGGTCAGGATCAAAGTCTCAAAAGAGTGAGAGCAAGGACTCCTTCTGGACCTTGATCAGCAAAACTGTCCTGCCCCTTAAACTGAAGAGTGTAATAAGCACTTCTATAAGTGATTGTATAACTGCAGAGCTCTAAAATTGTCCCAGTGTCACCAAGAAGAGATATTTCTGCATGAAAGCTAATAATGGAGAATATTTGAAATGAATCCTTAACACTTATAACTTCCTTTTAACCTCAGCTTGACCTCAATCTTGGAGATTCTCAATGGAAAATTCCTTTTCATTCTATGCTATGCATCTATCAGTCAAGATGACAGTTCCATAAGCATTAGACACTTGGTAAAAGCCTTAACTGATAATTTTTTTAAAGTAGTCTTATGTGCATGCTATTTCCAAAAAGGCAAAATCATATTTTACATGTTTTATTCCTAATTGAAACAAGATCACATACTAATGTGGCTATCAAAACACTTTTATTTTTCCAAATAAATAGGTTAATGAGTATTAACAACCTACTTCAGTAAAATCCTTAAAAATTCACATTTAGTCTTATGAGGGAACTGCATTTGTGATACAAAATAGAATTCTTTGATGGAGTTACCACTATTAAAAGTTTTATTTTAAGAAAAAAATCCTAAAAGTATTTTAAAAACTGATCCTGGCATGAACAATTAATGGTGTGAGATCCTAAAAACATCAAGAAAAATCACAAATAGTGTGCCTCTGCAAAGGTGTGATATCTCCAAACTAAACAACTCAACAGGAAACTCTCAGCTTGAAGCCCTCAAATTAGATGATCTGTTTCTCTCTCATTTCTGAAAACCTGCTATTTGATTTCATAACACTTTAAATCTTTGCATAAGCTAAACTGTTGGAATGTCCAAGTTTTTTTTCTCAAAATGAACACCACTTTTTGTCTTTTCTTTTTGACATGATTGGGTTTATTTATCTCTCTAAAAGGATCTAGAGTTCAGAACCTTTGTGGGTATTTGACACAAATTATATTTTTAGATATAGCAAATGGGTTTTCAACTGCTGATGCTAGAATACACACTGGAGTAGTGTGAAGGGAGGTATCAGGGGATTCATTTGAAGACTGGCATTGAACAAGTAAAGGACCACTCCACATGACAATAATGTGGTGGGTACTGCATTGGGCCACCCTACTCCTACAGGAATAAAGAATTCATTCTCTCAGGTGCAGGCAGACCTTATCCATCTCTGGATTCCCAGATTACACTCAAGGCTACACCATCTTCCCTGGGTAGCCGACATCAAAAGACTTATCCTTGGTAAGTGTGACTGGTCTGGTTCTCTCATCCCAGCTCAGGCGAGTGGAGGCATTTTTGGATCTCCTGTACAGTCAGCCATGATATTGTTCTGAGAATACATGCAGTTTACTCTCTCCCTTGCTCCATCTACTCTTTTGTTCTTTTTCTATTTGAGGGGATGATTTCCAGAGCTTCCAAATAAACATCTGCTTGTTAGTCTTCCCCTCAGTTTGTCCTATGGGAAGTCCAGGCTACACAAGCTCCAGGTGAACAGTCTAGATGACTGCCATATGTTATTGTACACTGTGAGGTCAACACTACGTCCCCATTTTATGGAGGACAAGACTGAAGGGCATAGAGGTTCTTCACTTGCTATTGCTTGATCTCTCCTTATTTGTTACCTAAACTACTTGTCAAAGGTCACTTACATTGCCAGTAGCAGAGCCAAGATTTAAATCCCAACTACATGGTCCCAGAATTCACATGTTTAGCAACTTCCCTCACTACATAAGCACTTGATTTAGGAAAAAATTAAAAATTACCAGGCAACATGAGACGGAAATAATTGTGTAAATAGCTGAACAATAAGATCTCAAGATCACTTTGATTTTCTAAACACTGTTTCAAAGAGTAGCAAGTGTCAATAGCAAATGCAGATCTATCTGCACACCAGACCAAGCTGACAAGTGCATTCAGTATATGTTTTAAGCTTCTGAATAAATTACAAAGTTTACCAGATGTCCGTTTGTACAAATATAACAATCTAATCTGTCACTCACTCGTAGCTACCAGTGACAAATATAAAATAAGGTTACTTTTTGTGTGCAGACTTGCCAACTAATCAAGAGGCAGACAAAAGAAAAGACTATTTTTTCCATCAGTTAATTTTTTAAAGCATTGGCATCCTCACATCAATGTTTCCCCTACTTGTTCTTCAATGTTTTTTTTCTACAAGAGTCATTTTTTAATTTTATTCTTCTTGGAATACTTGGGTCAATAACATTTTCTCTTGATAACTTTCCTCTAAATAGAGAATGACAGTCTTCCCAAAGAATTTTTTTTTTTTAGATGCCTTTCAAACTGATGCATTTCAAGCATTTTTTTCATAGACAGTAGAGCCTCTGGTGGGTGGTCCTCAGATACTACTCTTTGAAATTTATTCCCGGTACTATATATGGCAGAGTTGACTACTTTTTGTGTCTCAAGTAAACATGCTCTGTAACTGTAATCTCTCTGCTTCATAAACAGCTATTTTTCTGAGGAACAATGTAAATGTATATTTATGTTCTGAAGAGACTAGATGTGGAGTAAAACAGAATGGGTGTGATCTTCCTGTTGGAAACAGAGAAGTGTGAAACAGCTTAGACTTGCTCACTGCTTCATTTTTCAATATAAACAAAACCCAAATGTTTTATATTTAAGAGTCTGATTTCCAGATGTTGTAAGTGGCCTCATACCTTCCTCTTTGCAAACTTCAACTGTCTCTTCTGCGGCGGGACTGGGCACGGTGGTGGCACTGACACCATCTATAAAGCAGAAAAGAAAACTAGCATTAATGCTGTCAAGCGGTGGTTTTCCGGTCCTCGGTACCTCCCTCTCTGCTCCTGCAAAGAAAATGAGCTCCTTTCAAGCTGCACTGCACTCAGTGGTCTTTGAAAGGGCTGGAGGGGTGTGATCCTTTTTATAATTAATGAAACCAAACCCTTCAGTTAAGACAGAGACCAATGGACTATGACTTATTTTTGCCAAAGAAATCTATTTGTTGGTAGTACTACACCAGCCACCACGGTAGCATTTTGCTTCTTTCCACAATTCTCAAAGAATGGAGTATTATTTTCCTTGGTAACAGACTGTGAGGGCAAGCAGCTCCTTGTAAGTTTCTGCAAAGTGCAATTATGTGTACTTCTTTGAAAGTTTGGCTTTTCTTCAGACAGCACTTCTGTGGGCTGCCATGGTGCCAGGCTGTGAGGCTGCGGGGAGGAGCTCCACGGACATCAGGGCAGTGGCTCAGGAGAAGGGGAGCATCTGGAGGAAGGCACCAGAGCCATTTGGGGAATTCATACCGCCAAGCTTACAATGAGCAGTGAGGATGTGGAGGTGCCTGTCCCCCTCATAGCACCAATTAGCCTCATCAGAGTTGATCTCTCTTCTTGGTATCATCAGCATCACAGGGACTCTACTCATGTTTGGCCTCCAGGATGGCAGATAATTAGCCCCTGACATTAGAACAGTACATTTAAGACATGAAAGTTTATTAAAATCATTTGGAATTGTTAAATACCTGACCATTGAGAAAAGAAAGAATATATATAGGTAAGAAAATTTTTTTCTAATAGTAATACACTCATGGAGCTAAGGACAACTCCTACTGACATGGCAAATAAGACACATTTAGAGGCAAACCCTAGGTCTTTTGTGTGTTATGTACATGACTACGACCTTTAGTCATGTCTCTTTTGGAACACAGATTAAAACTTTTAACAGGGGGGATAACAGAAGATAATGAATCACTTGCTTTTATTAGCAATCTTTAATCTAAGGAAAGAAGAGACTATCTGCCTTCTCTTGCTGATATGATATCTTCCCACTTCTCCACCTCCCCTCACGGCAAAGTAGCCTAGAAGATGTTACTGCTGTCGCCCTGCACCTCTTCACCTCACAAGCTCGCTGTAACTCACTCCAGCCATCTCCTCTCCAGTATTCCTGCAAGAATTCTCTTATGCAAGGTACCAGCCTTCTTCCTTTGCACAAGGGCCATTCTCCTTTTTATTTCACTTGATTTCTTGGTAGTATTTCCCAGGCTTCCTCCTGGTCTTGAGATGCTTCCTTGTGGTGATTGTGTCTTCTTCCGTTGCCCCATATCTAGTGCCATGATGTCGCAGCCCCACTGCCTTCATTATTTGCAAAGAAAGCAACCAGTGAATCTCATACACTCCTATGGTTTTAAATCTTATTTATATGCCAATGAGTCTTCAAGTTGTATCTATAATGCTCACCTCTCCTTGGACATCTGGCCTTGTATAACTAACTAGCTTCATGACATGCCATATGGCTGGCTGAGCATGCTCTCAAATTTATTGTATTTAAAACTGAAGCTTTAACTTTTTCAACTGAAACTGTGTCCTGTGGCCTGTCTTCCATATATCAGTGAGTGGCCCTGTCATCTATGCAGTTACAAAGCTAAAAGCCTAGAACTGAACCTGGATTCCTCTTTCCTAAGATGCCTCATCCAGTCCCTCAGCAGATCCTACTGTCTCTGTCTCCAGAATGTGGTATGTACCAGTCGTTTTTGCTTCACTTTTCAGAAATCACCATCCCTGCTTATCTGCAGTAACTTAGGTGGTCTCATTCCACCATATTTCACCCATGTTCACTAACAGGCAAAAATTCTCTGGCTTAATGAAACTTAGACCATGTCACTGTGATGTTTAAAACCTGCTATGGACTTCTCGCAGTTGTTCTAATAACGTGAAGTTATACAAGGTCAGATATCTGGTGCTATGACCTCTTACGGAATAGCATACCATGCTCTCTCCTGAGCCTACCCTGTTTCAGTCATACTGGATCTTCCCCAATATTTAGTCCTAACTGGCCTTGGGGTATTTCATTATCTGTTTCCTCCATCTAGAACACTTTCAGCATCTTATTATCAGACCTCATTTTACCTATCACTTCCTTAGGGAGTCTTCTCCAAATCCAACCAGTAGAAAGCTGCCTTCTGGGTATTCCTCCTATATTCCTTTATTTCTCTGTGAGGCACTTATCACTATGTCCTAGTTTTATCCATTTTTATTTGTGGATAGTTTCAACCACCCCATGAGAATGTAAACTTCAAGGGAGTAAGGATGTTGTCTTTACTGTGTGTTACTATACAGCCTATGTCCAAATAGAGCCTAGGATACACTAAACCAGTGATAGTGAATCTTTCAGAGCTTTTAGTGATACAAACAGCACACTGTAGCATGTGTGCCTTAGGTTCGCCACCATTGCACTAAACCTTTGGTATATATTTGTTACCTACTTGAAAAACATTATATCTGATTTTGATTTGATTTGATAATGACTATATTTGAAACTTTTTTTTGGTACCAGGAATTGAACTCAGGACCTTACACTTGCTAGGCAGGCGCTTAGGCCACTGAGCTACATCCCAAGCTCAACATTTGAAACTTTTGAAGGATGCTATTTTAAGATTGTGTTTTTCCCCCATCGTATGGGAGAGGCCCACAGAGTTATGCTATCAAAGTTGGAAGTGGAAAATTAGGTTGAATGAAAAGAAGATTTTTTTCTTTGTACCGCAGCACTTTATTTTTCCTTACAAAATGACATGTTGCTGGGGCCTAATGTTCTCACTGTAGAAAACCGAAATTTGTCATCTTAAAGAGGTGAGTACAAAAAACCTTGCATAAATTAAAAGAAGGAATCAATTTACAGGTGTAAATACACGCTGTTTCCAACTCAAGGCAAGTAAACCACCCTCAGTGTTCAGGCAGGAAAACATCAGTGATGACAGAGACAGGGTCCTAAGCCTCAGAATCTCCCACCCTGTTGGACCAGCAAGAAGACAGAAGTCACAGCTGGTTCACCAAGTCTTGCCAGCCTGAGAAATCCTGCAAAGAAGATAATTTTATTTTGGAAAAGTAAAAGCAATTCCAAAAGGCTGTAAGGACCAGAAACGTGTTTTCGATTTCTCTGAAGTCCGATTAGGGCGGCCATGAAATGATCACAGTGTCCATGCCAATGTCCGCGGCCACTGGCTAAGTTCATAAATGACTCCTGCTGCTGGACTCCATGCCAGCCAGTGGGCTCACTTGGTAGAGCACAAAGAGACACTCAAGGGTTCGATGAGAGGTCTTTGGCATTGAGAGGTACCCGTATCAGAGGTAAGCGACAGAGAGGAGGGTTTCCACTGTACCATTTTCTACAAACAGGCAAGGCAATCCCAGGTCCAGATTGAGCTAGCTGTACTCAACTGAGTAAAGGGAAAGGATGAATAAATAAAACACAGGCAAATATGTGTGCATGTATGTATATCCATGTGCATGCACGCGCATGCGTGTGCACAGGTGCATGCATGCATGTACAGTATAGAGGTAGGGAAAAAACCTCTGTGTCAATAAAAACAGCTTGGGACAGAGCAGGGAGTGAATAAAACTCATGAGCACGCAACAGCCAAAGAATAGCCTCAGCTGTCAGTAGTTGGTTGACTAATACTTGTCAGCCCCAAACAATAAAAACAATGACAGCTTTTCACATAGACTCATCCTCAGTGGAGCATAATGATGTGTGGGTGGGGGCTGGGGAGGTTGGATAACAACGGTTTGCTGTATCAGAAATTCATTTCATTGCAAGGCCTGCGTTTCAGCATAGGGAGTCAGCTGACCTGCTAAGAGGTACACAAGGTCCTTGCTGCCTTGCTTCAGTGCTTTCTCTGATTGGCCTTCTTCAATTCTATCTCCCAGGTTAATAATAAAAGCTTCCAGTTCCCTAGCAAAAGTTCCAAGGTTAATGTAGGAAGTTTGCAGTGGAAAACTTATGGCTCTATCTGGTTTAACTCCAAGAATTCAGCATATGGCCTAGGACGTGCCTGGCACACATTAGACAGTGCCCACTATTTAAAAAATACCCCTCTATGGGGCTCATTAGAGCTGAGAGAATCACTTAGAAATTGAAGGGAAGAATGATATTGTTATTTAGGCGGTTATGCTGGTATCTGCATGATTGTACCTATTATTCTTTTAAAGGAGAGAGTGCTTGAGTACAAAACTGAGCAAGGAGAGATGATGAATGACAGGTGATTTCAATCCCCTTTGAGGCTTAAGTGCTATTTTACTTAAAGATGTTCAATTTATAATCTGAAGTATAGAATCTTTAAACATTCAGCTGCCATATCTGTTCTTCAGTGGACAAAGGTGATGCCAGGGCTATTTTTGACCTCACAGTCCTTGGAGAAGAGCGCTCAGGCTCCATGGCGCCACCTCCTACAACACTGCAAGAAATAATCAGAAGCATGGTTCTTCAACATCTAATGCAAAAGAGGAAAAACTTTAAAAATAAAAAACATTTTTTTCATGGTTCAAGTACGGCCTCTACTTCATTTCCTTTCCAGAGTTTTCATTTCATTTTTTCTCTTCACACTAAATTTATTAATTTTGGCCTGATCTACGTTATCCAAGCTCTGATTTGGTACTTCCACCTCCATCCACCCTCCTTAGTGCATTCGCAAGGAAACTGTTATTGCAGGGAGCAGAAATGGAAATTGGTGAATGAGACATCGAGTGAAAACATATCATCCTACTGGGAAGCAGTCAGCTCATAGTTAACAGAATCAGAGCTCTGCACGAACTCTGAAATTAATCAGGCGGAAAGGCATAAGCATTCTCAGACAATAGCATCGAGTAAAGTTATTGTTCACCTCTGTGGATGAGGCCTAGGAGACTCCTCAAAAGAAATCTGAGCCCACCTGCTTCTTGGCTCTGGCCTTCAATTTCTTCTGCACTTTGCTTTTCTTCGGGACCATTCTCATCTTTCAAGAAAACCGCAGAGGGAAAAAAAAATACATCAAGTCAATTTATGAAATATTTCTTCACGGCTAATATGCACCACTGAAATTAATTGCAAGCAATGTAGCATGACTCCCCATAAAGCAAGGCAGAGAGATGAATCAGAGGCATGAAACAGAAAAATTACCTACATAAATAGGTGCATTTATACCCGTCCCTTCTCACATGATTTGCTAGAAGAAATGTTGGACTGCGGTAAACAAAATTCACTCAGCAGTTCGGGTAACATCTCTCTCTTTGCTTGGCATTTCCCCAAATGCAATACAGATTTAAATTCCAATCTTCTTTTCTCTTTTGACTCAAGTAACATACACTGTGTGAGGAACCTTGGCTGCTTCAGTCTCTGTGTTTTTTATTTTTCTGTTTAATATGTTGTAAGAAAAAGGTGTATTTTTGCTTCGCTTGTACACAAGAATCTAACATACAGTATGAAATATTTTGTCTCGAACCCATTATGTTGGTCTAAAATGTAGGTGTGAAAAATAAATAACTGGGTGGATGAAATGGAGGCCATATATTAACCATTATCTAAAAGGCAGTTCAATTTTACTGTTAAAAATATGCTAAATATATGAATTTATGAGTAGAAAAAAATTAGCTTTTTGAAGGTAAGTAGGGCCTAATTTTATAACTCATTGCTAGGAGGGTCTCCAAATCACTGCTTGGGAAAAAAAACCAATATGAATGATAAATTTATATGAGGAGATAGGAATAAAATACAAAATATGTGACTAAGTGATAAAGAACAGAGAAGCAGAATTTACTAGTCTAGATTAATAGGGGATAAAGATAGCCACAAATCCCTTGCCTCTTAAGAAGTAGAGCTGTCTCTTGTTTGAATCATGATGGCGCTGTCACAGCTTAGACCCAAGGAAGGAGGCGGAAGTGACACTCTAGGTCTTTGAGCTACCTTCGGAAGACTAGCAGTGTCAGCTTTCTTCTTTGGAAAAGTCAGCCACAACTGTAAAAATGTTTGGGCCAGCCTCCCTCAGAGACAGAGGGCCTGAGGTCAAGCTACTAGCTGAATGGGGCTGCGTGATAATTTTAGGCATTGTCACCAGGAGCAGAAGAATCATCCAACTGAGCCCTTTTGAAATTTCTGACCTCCAAGCAGCCCAAATCATGGAGCCTGATCAGGCTTAAGTGTTTTGACCTGACACCATCTGCCACTACTATTGCTGCTACTACTGGCAGAATCAAGAGGACAGGGAATTTCTCCGGAGGAGACTTCTGTTAGGGAGCAGAAACCAACTCAGAAGTCATGAAGGAACATTCAATCAAGAAGCTCTGAAGAATCAACTATTGAGGAGAGTGTCAGATCTGAACACATTTGACCTGAATGAAAGACAATGTTTATAAGAAAATAATAAAACAAAACAAAACAAGACAAGTGATGCTCTGAAGTTAGGGAGGAACACAATCAATGAATACTTAAGTATGTACAGAAAACCCTCTGTCCGCTCGGCATTTGACACAAGATAACAGAATAGTCTTAAATATGAGAATCTGGGTGACCCTGTATGCTCTTGAACCCATTGTTCTCAACGGTTTATTCACAGGGACTTCAGGGCTATCTGGCATTTTCTCTCTTGTGGATCCTCACATGTGGGGCAGTACTGGCTCTTGCTGCAGGCAGGAAGTAACCAATGTGGCTGTTCTCGCTCCCTTAACAAGGCCAAGCTGGTGTACGAGTATGTGCCAAAACTTCGCTGCTATTCCCCCCTCCCTTCCACCAACAGGGTTGTATTGAGCTGGAGAAATCTGCCAACTTTTCTCCAACAGACAGACTTCAAAACACAGATTTCACAATAGGCCTGAAGTCTGCAGGTGACAGGCTGTCTTTAAAATTGGTCTGGTTAGGGGCTGGGGATTTAGCTCAGCGGCAAAGCGCCTGCCTGGCAAGTGCAAGGTCGTGAGTTCGGTTCCCGGTACCAGAGAAAAACCAAAAAACCAAAAAAAAAAAAAAAAAAAAAAAAAAAAAAAATTGGTCTGGTTACTTCACCTCTTACAGAGTGGGGGTCAAGAAAAAGACAAGCAAGGAAAGAGAAATAATCAAGTTGAAGGAGCGTGAGAAACTGGTTCTAGCAGTTTAAAATGCATAAAAAAGAAATTCATGGTCAGATTCCCAGATGCAACTGTCGAAAATGAAAACCAGTCTGGCTATTTACCCAATGCACTGCTCCTGGATTTCCTCCTTGGTCTGAAAACATGCCCTACCTCTCCCTAGCATGGGCTTTGGAGTAGCACACCTTTGTCCTACATTTGGAGTCTCTGTTGCATGGTTTTCTATTTGCTGTATTTTTGCCCTTGGGAAACAAACTTGAGAACGTGACATGTTTATCACAGAGTAAATGCATCCTGGAAGCACACTGGATTTGCCAGTTGAGCAACGTGCCTGCCCATGAGAAAGGTCCCGCGTATTGTTTTCAATTTCCAAGACAGTGCACCCTCAAATCCAGCAGGGGGAACCCATGTAGAAGCCTTGCTTCCAAACCCAGCCTATGCCTTCTCGGGCAATTAGATGAGCGTTTGTTTTACTCTTTTTTAGAGAGGACATTTTGGCTGGTTTGTAAGTTTCCATACACTTTAAATGCCCTCACTAGGTGAGTTCTTAGTGAAATAGTGTGCATCTACTGGTAGGGGAAAAAAAAAGTCGTATTAGTCAGTTACCCATAAGTATTTGATAAGGACATGATTTCCTTTTATCAGCTTTGTCTGGCTAACTGTCTTCACAGGAAGCACATAAACAATAAAAATTCATGTAAATAGGGCATATAAATTTGTGGGTTTTAGAGGAGATTTTAAAAGACTTACAATAAATGTGAAGCAATAGGTACAAGGAAGTGACAATCTGTTTTGTTAACTTAAATATTTCACACAGAAGCTTCATTCTAAACAGTTAAATTCTCTCAGTTAATGCACCTTTAAGATCACTAATTTACTTCAGGTAATAAATTTCCACAGTATTTATGTTGAGTATGACATAACAATGCACTTTCCCACCTTATACATCTTTAGTTCTCCAAAATTAGTATTTTTTTCAAGTTTTATTATTTATTTATTTATTTATTTATTTAACCTTTTATTTTGATACCAGAAATCAAACTCAGGACCTTGCACCTGCCAGGCAGGCTCTTGTGCCACTGAGCTATATCCCCAGCCACTATTTTTTTTTTATTTTAAAAAGAGAAAAGAACAATAAAAACAATATAGAATTTCAAACCAAGATGATGAGAAATTAATAATGTTATTATATTGCATATTGTTATCTTCAAAGTAGTTGCTCAGATTACCAGGTACCGGCACGCAAAATTAATCAAACAATGTAAGCACTAACTGTTCCTTTCAAGGAACCAATAGAAGTTAGGAGTACAATTATCTTAGCTCTCTTGGGTATATATAGATAGCTGGATAGATAGATAGATAGATAGATAGATAGATAGATAGATAGATAGATATCATTTTTTCCTTTCCTTCTTTTCTTTTTTCCCCCATCCTGGTGGTTCCTTCCTTTTGAGCAATTTCTTTCCCTTTCACAATATCTCTTGTACCTTTTGGATCTTATTTACTCTTTCAGTTTCTCACACTAGAAAGACAATATGATGTTTACACATGTGAGTCTGATTTATTTCACTTATGAATATGTTCTCTAGTTGTATCCATTTACCTATAAAAGCTTCGAGTCAGAATTAGTATTCTGACTCCCAGTCTCAATCCCTATTTATTGAGCATACACCATTTGTAAGAATATTTCATGAATTTTATAAAATAAGAGACTTCTGCTGCAAAGTGAATTCATGTAAGCAGAAGGAATATATCGTTCACTGGACTATGATAAGAATTCGGTCCTTGCTTAATTCCATATCAGTGAGTTTTGTAAGAGCACAATCTCAAAATCATAGCCATGAACTGCTAGCTTGATGTTTATAGTTTTTTTTCATGAGCTACACATAGAGATAGGAAGAGAAAAGGAAGTAAATCAGATTAAATTCATCACTGCTACGGGGAAGCAGTTTAATATGTGGATGTCTACTAATGTCTGTTTCTCTCTGTCTGTGTCTGTCTGTCTGTCTTTCTGTCTCTCTCTCCCTCCCCTTCCCCTTCCTTTCTTTTTGTTGGGCCATACTGGGGATTGAACCCAGGGCCTCACACATGATAGGCAAATGCTCTACTACTGAGCTACAGTCCCATCCCTTGTTTGTTTAATTTTATTTTGAGACAGGGTCTTGCTTAGTTGCCCCATCTGGGTTTGAACTTGTGATCCTCCTGCTTCAGCCTTCTGAATAGCTGGGATTACAGGCCTTTTTCTGTAAAGGTCTCAAAGTTTCTAGGCACAAAGGGAGTATGAACAGTTTAAATGCAGTGATTCTCAGATTAGAATCTTGTTCCTAATTCTTCAGTCTCCTGTGATAGCAGTATTACAATGTCCTCTCATCATGGGTAGAGAATACACCTCACTGATGTTGGATTTGGCCCTTTGCCCTGCTGTGGAGAATGAAATGAAAGTAATGAGAAGTGAGCAAAGGGCTTAAATGTGTTTCATAAGTGGATTGGTTGCCTGTGCTCCTGATATTTGCCATGGGAACGAGATGCTTTGTGGATGCTGGTTTAAGGAGGGTAAGAGATATGTGGAGTAGACCTGAAGTCAAACTACAGTATGGAGCCAGGCTCAGGCAACTCAAAGCTTGAAACAGAACCATCCAGCTGAGCCCAGCCCACATCTGGTGAACCACAAATGACTCACAAGCCTATGAGTGTCAAAATAAGCAACGAGTTGTGAGGAAGGAATTTTGGGACAATTTATTATGCATCATTATTACTGATGTAAGAAACTGGTAATAGCTGACTAATACAAATGATATGTTTCCTTTTTCTCAGGTCACAAGGCTTTAAGTTCTTTTTTTAAGAAAGCTAACCCTGATTTATGCATAAAGTATTCAGACATTCATTTTGTACTCCCCTC